TGAATAGTACCTACTGGAGATTCTGCCGAGAAGCAGCAACTTTGAGGGGAGGCTTAGTTTCTATTCATTCACAAAAAAAGTTCCATTATTGTAATGCCATCTGCCCAGCCCTGAAACTGCTGAAACTGACACTTACAACAAAATACCTTTACTCCTCCTCCACAAAGGGTTTCTGAAGTTCACACAGTTTGTATCAAGCATCAATCAAAATGATCTTGAGGGTGATTAAGTAATTTTATGTGAAACAGGCTAGTCCAAATCGCTGCATTAAAAATCTCATTAGCACGCTATGCATTCAATTAACTATCCAATTATTCAAGGACAGACGGACATAATCGACAGCTTAATAAACAGCAAAGTAATGGACTTGGGGGCATACCACCCCCACAAGACTTAGAAAGCAACTGATTACCTCATTTAATCCTTATAAAGGACCCCTGGTGGTGCAGTGACAAGCCCTGGTAATGTTGGGCTGCTAACCACAAGGTTGGCAATTGGAATCCACCAGCTGCTTTGTGATAGAAGAGGTGGTACTCAACTTCTAAACCGCACAGCCTGGGAAACCCTACACTGCAGCTCTGCTCTGTCTTATGGGGTTGCTATCAGCTGAAATCAAGTCAACAATGGGTTAACACCACTGTTGTTGTTGTTGTTAGATGCCATTTACTCAGTACTGACTCATAGCGACCCTATGCACAACAGAACATCCCCACAATTGCTGCTTCATTTGTGCCCACTGCAGTGCCATTGTGTCAATCCATTTCCTTGGGGATCCTTCTCGTTTTTCTGACCCTCCACTTTACCAAGCATGAAATCCTTCTCCAGGGAGTGGTCCCTCCTAATAACATCCAAAGTATGAGAGATGAAGTTTCACCATCCTAGTTTCTAAAGAGCATTCTGGCAGATTTGTTTGTTCGTTTGGCAGTGCATGGTAGTTTTAATATTCTTCTCCAATACCATAATTCAGATGCATTAATTCTTCTAGTGTTGCTGTTGAGTTGGCTCCAACTCATAGCGACCTTATCTATGCACAACAGAATGAAACACTGCCTGGTACTGAACCACCTCCAGGACTAAAAAACTGTTATGTTTGAACCCACTGTTACCGCCACTATGCCAATCCATCTCGTTGGAGTCTTCCTCTTCTTCGCTGATCCTCAACTTTACCAAGTTTGCTCCCTCCTGACAACATGCCCAAACTATGAGAGATGAAGTTTCATCATCCGGGTTTCTAAGGAGCATTCTGGCCGTACTTCTTCAACACAGACTCATTGGTTCTTTTGATGTCCATGGGATTTACAGTATTCTCCTCCAATACCATAACTCAAATGCATCAATTCTTCTCCTTATTCACTGCCCAACTTTCACATGCATATGTTGTTGTTGTTGTTATGTGCCATGGAGTTGGTTCTGACTCATAGCGACCCTGTACAGGGTTTCCGAGGCTGTAAATCTTTATGGGAGCAAAAAGTCTCATCTTTCTCCTGTAGTTTCAAACTGGTAGTTTCACACTGCTGACTGTGAGATTAGTAGCCCGATTCGTAACCACTATGCTACCAGAGCGGAAGCAACTGAAGATACCATGGATTGAGTCAGACGTACCTTAGTCCTTAAACTGGTATCTTTGCTCTTGAACACTTTAAAGAGGTCTTGTGCAGCAGATTTACTTAATGCAGTATGCTTGTTACTTCAGTTCTTGACAGATGCTTCCATGAGTGTTGATTGTGGAACCAAGCAAAATGGAAGTTTTTGACAACTTCAATCTTTTCTCCATTTATCATGATCTTGCTGGTCTGGTGGTGAGGATTTTTGTTTTCCTTTACATTGAGATGCAATCCATACTGGTGGCTGTAGTCTTTGATCTTCATCACTAGGTATTTTAATTCCTCTTTGCTTTCAACAAGTAAGGTTGTATCATCTGCATATCCCAAATTGTTAATGAGTCTTCCTCCAACCCCGATGCCACATTCTTCTTCATATAATCCAGTTTCTTAAATTATTTGCTTAGCATACAGATTAAGTAAGCATGGTGAAAGAATACAATCCTGACAAGTACCTTTCCTGACTTTAAACTATTCAATATCCCCTTGTTCTGGTCTGTATACCAGATTCCTTATAAGCACAATGAAGTATTTTGGAATACCCATTCTTTGAACTGTTATCCATAGTCTGTCATGGTCCACAGATACTTACCTGTCAACTAATCACAGGTAATATCTTTCTGGCATTCACTGTTTTCAGCCAAGATCTAACTGATATCAGCAATGATAATCCCTATTCCACATCCTCTTCTGAATCTGGCTTGAATTTCTGGCAGTTCTCCATCGATGCACTGTTGTAGCCGTTTTATAAATTATCTTAAACAAAACTTTATTTGCCCATGACATTAATGATATTGTTTTGATGATTTCTGCATTCTGTTGGGTCACCTCTCTTTGGAATGGGTGCAAATATGGATCTCTTCCTATCAGCTGGCCAGGTAGTTATCTTCCAAATTTCTTGGCATAGATAGTGAGAACTTTGTGGCATCAATTTGTTGAGATTGAAATCTGTGTTCTGTCAGTACAAATGGACTTGTTTTTCGCCTTCAGTGCTGCTTGCACTGCGCACTGCTTCCTTCAGTACCACTGGTGCTTGATCATATGCTACCTCTTGAAATGGTTGAAAATCGAACATTTCTTTTTGTTACAGTGACTCTGTGTATTCCTCCCATCTTCTTTTAATTAATGCCTTTGCATTATTCAATATTTTGTTCATAGAATTATTCAATACCACAACTCAAGGCTTGAATTTTTTCTTTAGTTCTTTCAATTTGAGAAATGCTGAGCGTGTTCTTCTTTGTTGGTTTCCTAACTCCAGGTCTTGTCATATTTCACCATGCTTTACTTTGTCTTCTCAAGCTGCCCTTTGAAATTATCTGTTCAGCTTTTTTATTTCCTTTTATTTCTTCTAGTAGCTTTTGCTTCTCGATGCTTAAAATCAAGTTTCAACTTCTCTTCTGACATCTGTTTTGGTC